TTTATTAGTAGATTGTACATCACAAACACACTCTATACCACTAAGTGGCGGAAATGCTACTAAATGTTTGTTGCCAACTGCCAATAAATCCAAGAAGAAGAAGATTCGAATGTACTTCCCAGATCTATCCCAGCATCCTCTGCGGCACAGGACCTCTTTTCGGCGAGGACAAAACAAGCAGCATCTCAAGGTTAGCAGTTGTTTACTCCGAAAGTGACCAAAATATCTAAAGTTATTTACAAGACTAACGCTTTCCAAATTGGTATCGAACTACTGAAATAGTAAGCCGCTCTTTGCGTGTGCGTTAGCATTAGAAGTAGACAGCTGAAGTCTTAGACGACAGCTTTTAGCTAACCAAGGGTGGTTGTAACTTAAAAAGCTAACGATTTCATTGATGCAGTTTTAGTACATATGTGCCAGAATGGTCGGAATTTACAATAACAAACTGGTTTGCCATCGTTGTTACTATCCCAAATAGACTTAAAAGAATAATCAGCTGTCATTAAATTAGCCAATGAGGCTACCTTGGAATCGCATCAGTTTAGCCAAGCTAGGCTAAGCTAAGAAGTAGCTTAGTTAACGTACCTGAACTATCACCCTGATTTAGATGTTAAAATGTAATCCAGTGATGCCGCCTGGCTTTGCTAAACTTTAATGTACGCCATTATTTACACTTTTATCTTTGTCCCTTTTATTTCCAGCATTCCTTTTGCACAAAAATATGGCCGACATGGTGGATGAGAAGATTAAAAACTATAGGACGGCTCCTTTTGACGCCAGATTCCCCAATACAAACCAGACCCGCAACTGCTTTCAGAACTACCTGGGTGAGGAGATCCACTAATTCTGATCACACACGAAGGTCTAACCTATTCCTAACAAGTCGCATCAAAATGTTCAAGTCATATGTCTCTATAGAGGCAAAATGAACGGGTCCATAAAGCACTGCATGATGGAGACATTGTGGTGTTCTCCATGAACTAAAAATGCATGGGCATTTTGACAAAGTGTCCCTTGTTAATTTACTATAGCCTGGCCAGACTGATTGTTCAGTTGAACCATGAATATTCAAAATACAGCCTGCCAGTATAGATCAGTCTGACATTTATTTTAGTTGTGTATTAAAACACAGACATCAAAAACCATCACAGATTTGCCATTAGATTTGTTTAATCTAAACAAGTGTTACTTTTCTGCTCTTAAAAACACAAGTCTGTAATTCCATTATTTAATTTGTTTATCTTTTTTTTTTATTATTATTTTAGATAAATGGTGATGGCAGTAATTCTGTGCTCAGCAGTTTTTTGCTGAGTGGTGTTAAAAGGTTCCTTATGCTGAATTGTTTGAGACACAGCCCTGTCGCTGAAAATGTATATATCTGCATATAGGTTACGGGTTAAGAAATAAATCATATTCATATGTCAGTAGTGAAATATTTGTGCTTTTTTTTATTCTAACATCTTAAATTGAAATAAAATTGTAAAGCTTTAAGGCTGTTATCCAAGATATGTAACACTTGGTGGGATCACGTTTCCAATTAACCCCAGCATCTATGTCACTACTTTATATTTGAAATGGAAACACTGAGCTGTATTTTTTTTATTATATAGTAAGATTGGAAGTTGCCTCATCATAGCTTTTTAATATTTAAGTACTACAGCAGGTTAACTGCTGAACATTTATTTTTTTTTCAACTACCTTTCGGGAAGAGAAAACTATGTTCACTGACCTTAAAGAAGGATGCTTCAGTTTTTCCAGCGTATTAAGAGCAATCAAGCTATGAGTTATATGGCCAAATATGTTTCCAATTGTTCTAAATGTGAGCATTATGTGAAAAATATTGTAATATGTTTTCAATTCTATTTTTGTGCTGCAGATTTTCACAGATGCAACAAGGCCCTGTCAGCCAAAGGCCAAGATGTGTCTCCCTGTCAGTGGTACCAGAGAGTCTACAAGAGCCTCTGTCCAATGGGCTGGGTCAGTATTTCTGATCACAGATGTCTACTTTTGCAGGCTTATGCAGCTTTCACTTAGTCAATTCCTGTTATTTATTTTGCATCAGTAATCTTTTTCCTATTTTAATTATGACTGTACTGTAAATTTAATAATTTAAATGTATTATATAAATGCCAGATATAGATTCAGCCCCTTTTTTTCTCTGTTTACACTGATGTCATCATCTTAACCTCTTAAATATTTTGTACAGGTGTCTAAATGGGACGAGCAGATAGAAAGCGGAAGTTTTCCTGGGAGGATCTGAAGTCACTAAATGTTCCTGGTCACAGTTTTGTTTAGTTCAAACCTTTACCTCTGTAGTTTGCCTGATCTCCAAAACATCTGTCACTCTGCTGTTATCATCGTCATCCGTGCAGCTAAATGAAACTAAACACGCAAAAAATATACCATGTGAAGGTTTAGTTTGTTTTCTCCTCAAATTTTGATTCCTTTTGCATTATTGGTACAATACAGTATGGAGTAATACATTGATTCTCAATGAAGTTTAAGGAATGGGATGTGTATGTGTAACCTTTTGTCAGGCACAGTAAACCTTTAAAATCAGGAGTCGGTTGTTATGGATTTTCTTCCTCCCTCTGTAGTTGACTCACTTACCCAGATGTGACTGATAACATTATAGGGGAGCTCACATTTCATTGATAGGTCTACCTCAGACACTTTGTTAGCACATGTAATTTGGTCTGATTCAGATTAAAGAGGTTTTTAAAATTGAATCAATAAATGTTTTATCTCCCTTTGAATCTATTGACTGATTTTTTTTTTTTTTTCTTCCAGTCAGTCAGGGATATTTTAAATTAACTGGTATTTTTTGTCATCATAGTTGCAGCACTAATCAGAAGTTTACTTACCATCTGAGTATTAATGTCATTCAATTTGTTTTTGGTGTTCAACAGTATTAAATGTTTGAATATTTAAAAGAATTGGGGGCACAAATTAGATCTATTGTAATATACTCTGGGTCAATATGATAATCTTATAACCATATGTGATAGGTTTAGATTAAGGGCTAGTTGCATGCATCTTTGGTCATCTTTTTTTAATTAAGACATTGTTTCTCAACCATGAAACTGACTTTTATGCAAAGATTTGTTCATGGTTTTGCTACTTTTTTCCATGAATTTTGACAGGCCCTCTTAAAACAATTTGAGATGTATGTTTATTAGTTTTGAATATAAAAGCATTTAGTTGTCCTGTAGTTCTAAACATCCGACCCAAACTCTCAGTTTAAAGCAAATTCGGACATTAAGCTGGAGCTACCAATTTTCTGGTGTACTAGAAACAGTCTTTTTTTTCCGCATCAGCAGCCATGAAAAAGTTAAATGGGGATACCTTTTATATATTAAGGCATCTTTTTGCTCCCCTTTAATTACAGAAGCCACTAAAAAACTTGCTTACTGATGTAAATGTAGTTGTCAGGCTTTACAGCCTTATCTCTTACAGTCATACACATTTAAATATTTCTATATTAAAACAATAGTGTTAAAAGCTGCTTAGGACATGTTTTCATAGAAACTAACTTCACTCTTAGGAAAATTATGTTGCTCATCAGCTTGGCATCAAAAACAAAAGCTAAAAGCCAGACATTCAGTCATCTGCAATACTGTATAACACGCAGTACTAATAGAAGAAATAAAAATATGCTCAACACCATATATTACTAATATTTCTTTGTATAAGTTTGTATTGGCACATTTTTTTTTTTAGATTATTTAAAATGTCATTAACAGCATCTGAAATTAGGCTAACTGAGATCTCTAAATTGTCTTTAGCTGCGATTGTGTGTGTATGGTTGCATCTTTTTTTTGCCCAGCAACCGACTGGCAGCATATTAAGGCTGCACAGAGATGGGCACCACCTCCACTGCAACCCTGAGGGATTGAGCAGGAAAGGATGAATAGATGGATTGATGGATCGATATTTCCACATAAATACAGGCAAACCTGTGTTTCAAGGAATGAAAAAAAGGTCAATCCTCAATAAAAGGGAAAACAAGGACGAGTTTTTTTTTAACAAATCAATAGGGTACACTATCCCAAAAAAATGTGAAAGACCTTTACACCTTATTTACTTCCACCCCTTTATACCCTCAGTAAATACCCTCATTTAATTTTCATCAGTTAATGTATTTAAGGAAGCATAGATAACCATACATACCCTCCCTATAAATATCCTGAAGTATGTTCTAATACCTTTTTTTGACTATATTTAGGTTTGCACTGTACTTCATATCTGTATAAGCGTTCCACAAAGTCACTCCACAGATAAATACAATTTAGTTTCATATCGTGTCCATAATTTCCTTCTGTTAAGATTTCTTTGTAACAAATTATATCTTGCTTTATTTATTATCTGCATAGTTTTATATTTAGCCAAGTTGAAAAATGTCTAAGTTTAGTGCTTTAAAAATAAGTTTGTGTGATTTTTGAAGCAGACATAATATATTGTAATGTCTGAAATTTGCTTTTGTAGCTATTTCCCCCAAACTTCTACGCAATAAGATGGGTAAGGTTCTACTCTCAGGTAAGGTCTCTATCTACTGCAAGACTTCTCAGAGAAGAGACTTTTAAAGATCTAGTTGATACCTGTTGAGCAATGAAGGAAGCTCTAAGTTTGGTTGTAGTTCCTCTTTTTGGCCACACGATGGCAAACTTGGATTAAAGAGAAGAATGCTGTTCACGTTAGTCACAATAAACAAACACAACTCAAGTACTTCTCTAATCATTTTATTTAAAGACACTTTCCCTTTAATCAGAAAGGTGAAGCTAAGGGAAGCTTTTGTTTGCATTTAAGAAAAAAATTTTTTTTTATATCTTCTTATAACAGCATATATTTTCATAAAATCATTACAAAGAAATACACTTTACTCTTGTTCAGCTCCTGGACAGTGACATAAAAGCCTATACATCTCAGCATGAATATTTCACTTTTTTATATGATTTGATTTGCTGATTTTACACAACTAAATAAATATTGGTGCTGCTGAATGGATTAGAACTTTAAGTGTCCTGTTTTGTTTGACGATTTTAATTAAAGGTAGAGCTGCTTTAAAAAACATGTTGTAAATGTTGGCTTGCCGATTGTATACATACTCAGATTTATTTAAATCTGGAATAAACCACAGTTGTTAAACTGAATTGCATACATCCATGCTATATATGTTTACATATGTACATATGTGTGTGTGCATATAGTTCATCTAGATATACCAAGGAGATGCTCTGCCCCCCTTAATGTTTTGCATAGCCCTGAACCTCCTCAGCTAAATAATCAACAAGACTGGCTATTGATACCAACTCAGAATTGGGGTCACAATCAGGCACCTCCAGTACATGGATGAAATCAGGCTGTATGAGAGGGAAGGTAATCCACAGAGAGGGGCTCACACTCCAATAAGGAAGACTGGCAGATGTAGAAGTAAATTGCAACCACAAAGTGACCACAAGGAAAGCAGCAACAGCCAAATAACCGCAATGAGTAAGGCAAGTTCTGAGAAGTCAGCTCATTCGTAAGAACAAGGTCCAGGCAATCAGCAGCTATGCTTGCCAGTAATCAGATACCCTCCCTGCTGTGATAATATGCTGGCCTAAGGAGAAAATTCAGTCCACTGATGGTAAAACAGAGAAGCTACCCACAATGCATGGTGGATTACATCCAAATCCAGTATCTACAGACTATACACTAAGCACAAAGAAGAAGGCAGAGGCCTAGTGAACATCAGAGCCACCATTACAAATGAAACATCCATGTTCCAAAAATACACCAGGAAGACAGCCCCAAGATATAAAGATATTAGTGAATGTTTCGACAGTAGACGCTGGAACTGGAGGAACCATCATGGGAAGAAGAACCCCAGCATGGGATATATTACCCAGAGATACTTAAAGTGACTGATATGACCAAATCCTACCAATGGCTAAAGAGGGCTGAGCTCAAGGATAACCCAGAAGCACAGATCATGGCAGTACAGGAGCAGGCTTTTAGCACCAGAACAATAGAGGCCCAGATCTATGGCGTCACATTTATTTCAAAACGCTGTCCATCAAAATAAACGTACTCGCATGTACGTTAAACTACTTCTGCAAGTGGTTTATGTACCACCGCACCACAAAAGCACACATGCGTGAGAAACTGCTGCTTCAAGAGGAGAAAATTGTTCTCCGCACGTGCTCTTCTCCCACACATGCTCGGGATCTAACTGCATGCAGGATTTTTTATCCAGCGGCCACGCTCGAGGACGGCCGCGCTCTCCAAAGCATCTCCGCCCTCGGACTGATATTCTCCTCACTGGAAGAAAAATGTGATTTGACAGGTTGGGAGGAGACAACCTTGTTCTGTAAGCCTCTTCCTGATTGGGCCTTGCAGACAAAAGCACATGGGAACTAGTGTCAGGAAGCCTTTGACTGACAGCTCGTCATCCATAGGTGAAGATGAAGGCTGGACAGTGGCGGAGGTTTCTCCAATGTTTGTGGTAAGTGGGATAAGTGGTAATAGTCAGTCAAGGCTTTCTGACACTACTTCCCATGTGATCGTGTCGGCAGGGCCCAATAAATGTACAGATCTATCATACCATGCAGGATCTCAGGTGCAGACTATGCAAAGAGGCTCCAGAAACAATCCAGCATCTCACAGCATGGTGTAAGATACTGACAGAAAAGGAAAACATGGAATGTCAGATACAGACAAAATGGTTGTGGCCTACCAACCAGACATTGTGTTTATTGATAAGCAGCAGAGGACAGCCATAGTGATCGATGTGGCCCTTCTAAATGATATAGGCATCACACGAGAAAAAGGACATGAGAAATTAGAAAAATGCTAAGGTCTCAGGAAATAACTAGAGAGAGTCTGGAAGGTGAAGGAAACAATAGTCCCCACGGTACTTGAAACACTCCGGGAAGTAACCCCACACTGGAAAAGTGGCTCCGACAGATACCTGGACATAAATATCAGTCCAGAAATGCAAGCCAGGTAGGGCACCTGAGCTGAGGGAAGCCACCACCCCACCCAGGACTATTGGGTGGGGGAGAGACAGAGCGAGAGAGTCGGTAAAAGTATTTTGGGTCTAATTGCAGACTACAGATTGATGGTGGCACTATTGAGCAAAAAACAGATAAGTTATTCATTTTCATAGTGATTCAGATGTAGGTGACAACTTTCCTGAGAATTGTGACAACAAATCTCCATTAGAGTATTTAGTGGGTGAAAGATCAAAACAGCTTTATTAATTTAACAGATTCACAAAAAATTTTTATTGCTAGTATCTGCAGAGTAAAATCTAGAAAAAATATGAATAATATAAGTTAAATCAAATGAGTAAAAATGCTTAAAAACATAAGTACTGTGTCATGAACCACTACTCCTTTTCAATCTCAACA